ACAGTTTTGAATGCATTATAGATTAGTTTTCATTTTTTTTCACACGTGTCTGTCTTGGTTCTCATAATAAACTTGTATAGTACAGGGGGAAAAGCATGATTTGTCAGGCAGATTAATAAAATTAGGAAGGGACTGTTTATCCAGTCTGAGAGAGTAACTACCTTCATTCCGTCGTTATAGACGCACCATTTCCATGAGCATCATTGAATTTCAGACCTTCTTACCTGGTTGCTGAAGGGGCTTTGGCCACACCACTAACGTAGTTTAGGTTTGTGTGTATCCTTGTAAGTTACTTAGGGATGTCAAATGAATAGTTTGTAATAGCTCACCACTCCCCATCTCTCTAAGATAAATAGATACCTCCTTTTTTTTGAATAATGAGGTCCAGACAAGATAAATAAAAACTACATCATCAAAACAAAGGGATAATTTGTTTGCACCCCTCCTTTGCCCCACCATCATCTTCCAGCACCCTGTCTCAAGACCGCACCCTTTAGTGAGGGGTGTGGGGATCTCTGGCCATTGAGAGTTTTTAGAAATGGAGCAAGAAGTAGCATTTGGGAATTATGGGCTATACCCGGCCTTCACCCTGTTTTTTCCAGCTCAAGGGCTCAGCGTGTTCCCCTAGTTGTGAAAACACACCTTGCCTGTAAACATCTTCATGTGCAGTTTCTTAAAGAGCCACCAGGTGAGGATGTGGCTCCATAAGATCTCTGTCGCAGCAAGACTTGTCACTCTTCTCATTGTCCCTCCACCAGTCTTCTCCCTCTTCTGCTTTGTGGCTTAACTGTTTGATCACTTATTCCCCACTTGGTTCATAAACAGCTTAGGCTCTGGAGTTGGGCAGTCCTGGACTTGTCTTGCTCAGATCCTTCATTTCCCCATCTGTGACATGAGGATTAAAGACCCTGGGTCCCGTGGGAACTGGCCCTCACATGTGCTGGTGGAGTGTAGAGTGATACCACTCAGCAGAGGGCCACTCGGCAGTGTGTGCCAAAAGCATGCCCCTGGGCACCCTTCGCCTCAGCAGCTCTACTTCTGCAATTTGTGCTGAGGATGTGCCAGCACATATGTGTGTGCATAGTGACTCATCATAGCATTGTTTGGACTAGCAAAAAGGACTAGAAATAACCCAGATGTCCACTAATAAGGGACTGGTGAAATAAACTAGTGCGTCCTTGCACCAGAATACAGCGCTGGGCAGTAATGAAAAGGAAAGAGGAAGCTCTCTGTGTACAATAAGTCCTCACTTGATGTCATCAGTAGGTTTTTGGAAACCGTGACTCTGCCACTTGAAAGGACATATGAAGAAACCAATTTTACCATAGTCTAATTGATATAAATAAGAGTTAAGCTCCTATGGCATATTTCTGGTTATGAAAGCATCATCAAACTTCTAAATAAACTGTAAAGCACTTCTAAATTAAATATTGAAATAAATGTGAGCTGTACATACATTTATGAAAGATGAATAAAAACAAGTAAGATGAGCCAGGCGTGGTGGCTCATGCCTGTAATCCCTGCACTTTGGGAGGCCAACTAGGGCGGATCATTTGAGGTCAGGAGTTCCAGATCAGCCTGGCCATCATGGTGAAACCCCATCTCTACTAAAAATACAAAAATTAGTCAGGCATGGTGGTGAGTGTCTGTAGTCCCAGCTACTCAGAAGGCTGAGGCAGGAGAATGGCTTGAAGCCAGGGGACAGAGGTTGCAGTGAGCCAAGATCGCGCCACTGCACTTCAGCCTGGGTGACAAACCGAGACTTCATCTTAAAAAAAAAAAAAAACAAGGTTATGATTTACCTGCTTACTCAAATGGGTTCAAGGTCGCAGGTGGCTGGAGCCTGTCCCAGCAGCTGAGGGTGTAAGGAGGGAACCAGTCATGGGCAGGACGTCATCCCATGGCAGGGCGCACTCACTCATATACCACCAACTCAGACCAGGACCATGTAGTCAGCCCCATTCACCTAAGTATATATTTTTGGGATGTGGAAGGAAACCTGAGTATCCAGATAAACTGGATATCATCCAAGCAGACATGGGGAGAATGTGTACACTCCATACAGACAATGACCTCAGCCAGGAATCAGGGTTTCTTCTCATCAGTGATATAATGAGAAGACATTGGACCGACTGGGCAGTGTGGCTTATGCCTGTAATCCCAGCACTTTGGGAGGCTGAGGCGGGTGGATCACAAGGTCAGAAGTTCAAGACCAGGCTGGCCAAGATGGTGAAACCCCATCTCTATTAAAAATACAAATATTGGCCAGGTGCAGTGGCTCACCCCTGTAATCCCAGCACTTTGGGAGACTGAGGCAGGTGGATCACAAGGTCAGAAGTTCAAGACCAGCCTGGCCAAGATGGTGAAACCCCATCTCTACTAAAAATAGAAAAATTAGCCAGGTGTGGTGGCGGGCGCCTGTAATCCCAGCTACTCGGGAGGCTGAGGCAAGAGAATTGCTTGAACCCAGGAGGCAGAGGTTGCAGTGAGCTGAGATTGCACCACTGCACACCAGCCTGGGAGACAGAGTGAGACTCGAGGTCTCAAAAAAAAGATATTGGACCAAGTGATGTTACTGAAGGACCTGCTGTATTGCTTAGGAATGATCCCCTAGACGTTTTTTGTAGAGAAAAGAAAAGCAACGTTCTGAATAGTATGACCCATACAGTTTGCTACTTTTATATTTTAAAAAAGTGAGGGAAGGATAAGCCTGGTGCAGTGGTTCATGCCTGTAATCCCAGCACTTTGGGAGGTGGGTGGATATCCCGAGGTCAGAAGTTCAAGACCAGCCTGGCTAACATGGTGAAACCCTGTCTCTGCTAAAAATACAAAAAAATTAGCCAGGCATGGTGGCACACGCCTGTAGTCCCAGCTACCGGGAGGCTGAGGTAGGAGAATCGCTTGAATCCGGGAGGTGGAGGTTGCAGTGAGCCAAGATCACGCCACTGAACTCTAGCCTGGGTGACAGAGCAAGACTCAGTCTCCAGGGAAAAAAAAAAAAAAGGGAGGGAAGGATGAAATAGTATTTGCATCAGGAAACAAGAGTCATACACAAAACTAGTGAGGCTGGTTCCCTGTTTTTGTGGGAGTATCTAGTAGTAAATATTTTGTTTGATTTATATTTAAAAATGTGCTGCTTTTTCTCCTGTTTGGCTCCTTTGTCCTTCCTTATAAGGTGGCCTGTTACACTGATTCTGTTGATGCCTCCCCATGACACTAATGACAATAGCCAACACTTAGTGTCCATACCATGCCAGGCACTGTCATAGATGCTCTGCCTGCCCTGGCTCATTTTAGCAAAGGAGTGGGGGACGAGGGCGGAGAGAGACTTATATCTATTGTGCATTTTACATTTGAGCTGTATATTACCACTCAAAAATAATTGTTTTTCTGATTAGTTCCTGCCCCACCTGGTGGTTGTGGGAATTAGACGAGAGTCCATGCGAAGGGCATGCTCTCCTCCATGGTCACCTCTGAATCAGGCTGGAGCCTGGCATTCTCCATCAGGCAGGGTAGGGAAGGGGCCTCTTGGATCCCAGTGCGATGAGGCCTCAGTGTGTGCAGTGCCCATCTAGGTGGTATTTCCCAGTGTGCGAGCTAAGTAGGATGAGCCAGCAGCCACAGCCACTCCCGCCTTTGCAGGCTGTCCACCAGCATCTCCTCTTACCATCTTTTTGCTTCCTGTCTGAGGAAACAAGGCCATTTCTGCCCACACTTAAGCTTTGAGATTGACCCAGTGCACTCCAGGTAGCTGCCGACATCCTGGGCATTCACGGTTCCGTCACCTCCCCTTCCATGTCCTCCCAGCGTTAGTCTTCCTCCTGTTGGCCTTTTGGCCCCCTGCCCCATCCCGCCAGGGCTCCCAGCACCAGCTCTTGCTGGCATGCTTAGGCTGAGGGTGGTGTCCCTCTGTTGTTCCTGAACCTCTTTGTATTGGAATGGTCCTGTTTGCAGATTCAGCTCCCAAATCATCATCCTTCCCTGAGTGCTCTGCCTATGCTCCCTCGCCTACTTGCCTGCCGCCTGGCTCTCACTCTCATGTACATACATGCCGTGTTACACTTACCCTACCACTGTTAGCCACCAGCTTTCCACAGCTTCCCTCCGTCATCAGGTGCAGCATAACCCAGGCCAGCCTGAGGAGAGTTGCTGATCTTTCTCTTTGGTCACTGGCCATCCTTGGAACAAGAAGCCCTTACCTGTTCCACAGCCTGGATGTGGTTTCTGTGCTTTGAGAGGGTTGTAGCCTGGGCAACATGGTGAAACCCCGTCTCTACAAAAAATGCAAAAATTAGCCAGGCGTGGTGACCTGTGCCTTTAGTCCCAGCTACTCAGGAGGCTGAGGTGGGAGGATCATCTGAGCCCGGGGAGGTTGAGGCTGCAGTGAGCTGAGATCACACCACTGCACTCTAGCCTGGGTAACAGAGTAAGACCCTGTCTCGAAAAAAAGAAAAAAGAGGGTCCTGCCTCCTCTGCCAGGCAGAGCCAAGCATCTTGGGGGGCATTCTTCCAGTGCCCAGCTGAGGCCTGGGCATGGCCTGACTTGCTGTTCTCTAGGATAGAACAGTCAGAGCCAGGCTTGAGTTGCTTGCTGAGGGGACCGTTAGGACAACAGAACCACTGTGGGCCTGTGCACAGGAAGGGTCCCACCAGGACTCTTTTCCAGTGGGGTTGGGCTAAAAGGGCAAAAAGGTGACTTAGGCAGGACCCCAGCCTTGATTGGACTTTGGACCTGTGTTGACCCTCCTGGGTGTCTGCTGGTGGGGATGGCACCATCCACTATGAAAGCAGAGGGGAAAATGGTGTGCTTCTGTGTCCCCTTTGGAAAGGTCTGGGGCCAGGGAAAAGCCGGAACTCAGTGCTCCTCTGAGGAAGTAGTCATCATTTGTATCCTTTTTCCTTTGGCCAAAAATATGTTTGTCTTAATTGTTAAAAAACAAGGCTTCCTGAACACAGATGCAGAAGATTTATATTTTTCTCTCCCCTCCCCTGTTTTGTAGGAAGCTGAAGTCTTCAGCAGAACCCTGACCTAGGTAGGGAGTCTCAATGGCCCTGGGTGAAGAAAAGGCAGAAGCGGAAGCATCTGAAGACACAAAGGCCCAGTCTTATGGGAGAGGGAACTGCGGGGAGCGGGAACTGGACCCCCCAGGGCCTGTGAGTGGGGAGCAGCCCCCACACCTGGACGCTGAGGGAGGGCTCATCTCCCCTGTATGGGGGGCAGAAGGGATACCTGCCCCTGCTTGCTGGATTGGGACTGACCCTGGCGGCCTCTCTAGAGCCCACCAGCCACAGGCCAGTGACGCCAGCAGAGAGCCCGTAGCTGAGAGGTCTGAGCCTGCACTCGGTGGCCTGCCTCCTACCACCATGGGGTCTGGAGACCTTCTGCTCTCTGGGGAAAGCCAGGTAGGTACTAAGGCAAGACTGTAGGTGGACCCGTTGCTGTCCTTTGGGAGTTTGTTCTAGGATTTCCTCACCATCTCGCATCCTTTCCTGGCCACTGTGCAGGGTGAGGAATTAGAGGGGCCTGAGTATGATGATTTCTGTTTTGTGGGTTCAGCTGGAGAGCTGGGCCTCAGGACCAGCCGGGGGGGACTGTCCACGGTATCTCCTGTTCCTCAAGAGTGACTGGTGACTTTTTGAGGACCAGGGATTGTATGGCCAAGAGGCTGTGGACCAGAGGTGTAGGCCAGGGGAATTCTGGCAAGGGGAGCCCTGTACTGTTTCTGACTTGGTGATCTAAAGGCTTTAGGGGTACCCTGAAGAGACTTGGGAAAGGTGTGTCCAGGGCTTTGGGTTCCTGGGGCCTCTGAACTAAATCCTCTTCAGACCCAAGGGACATGTCAGAACCTTGGAGCCCTGTAGTAGGCAGCACTGTCCCTGGTGAAGGAGAATTCTTTGGGCTTCTCTGACTGCCAGGCAGCTTCTCCTAGTGGGAGTCACATGGGGCAGGGAATCCTACAGGTTCTGTGACTGCAGGCAAATCACCAGATCTTTTAGGCCCTCAGCATCATTGGGAGGTGACCTGAATGATCTGTTCTGCCCAGCTCTTACATTCTTTTCTGTTCTGCTTGCCAAGGCCTTTCCTGGGAATGGCTTTGATCTTCTCGGTGTCATTGTAGCCTTGGCTGCTGCACGGTCCCCTTGTGGAGCTGCATCCTGTGAGGAGGTTCTGAGAGGGACTGGGAGAGAACAGAGGCTGGGCCCCACCTGCCTGGGAGCAAGGGGCGGTGGGAGGCTCTGGCACCTGTGAGTCAGAGATTCAGTGAGGCAGGAAGCGAATAATAAACAGACACAGAAATGGCCTTTCACGAGGATGAGTCTGGTGCATATTATTAGAATTCCTGTTGTTTGTTAAGCTCTTATCATGTGCTTTGCGCACATGGGTGTATTTAATCCTTACCTTCTGAGGAGCTGGTGCCATGAGGGGAGGAGAGTGAGGCTCGAAGTCACACATTTGGAAGGTGGCAAAGTCAGGGGCTGGCCTCAGGTTTGTCTAGCTCCAAAACCCATGTTTGGAGCAACGCTGTGCTGTCCTGCTTCCCTCGGGGTTGAGTTCTTCATCAAGCAGATAAAAATCCAGTGAAGAAGCAGAGATGAACCAGTCATTCTGCTAGTGTTCAGTTACCACTGGCTTGTGAACTGAGCAGGGTGGGGCCTGGGGCGACCTCCTGGGTTTGGACGTGTCCTGTTAGCGACAGAATGGCTGAGGGTTTCGTCTGCCAGGAGATGCTTCTCAGAGGTACGGGACTGTATTCCAGCTTCAGCATGACAGAGCTGTCCGAGTTCTGCTCGCTAACACCCTGGATACCGGCGGAGGAAGAACCTTGGAGGGGACTGGAGATGGGAGTCAGGTCACCTTGCTTCCCAGGCAGGCAGGGTCTCAGTGCTCCTGCTGGCAGTGCACACTGCCTGGTTCTTGCCTCAGGCAGCAGACTTTTCATTTTAAGATCTTTCCTAAATACTGTCTAGACCCGCAAGGAAACTCCTGGGTTGTCATCTAAGAAAGAAATTGGGTTTGATTTTCACCCAAGTGCTTTTTGTCCCTTTGATCATTGCAGGTAGAGAAGACCAAGCTTTCTGCCTCCGAGGAGCTCCCTCAGACTTTGAGCCTTCCCAGAACAACTGTTTGCTCAGGACATGATGCTGATACGGAAGATGATCCATCCCTAGTGGATTTGCCCCAGGCACTGGACCTCAGCCAGCAGCCTCACAGCTCAGGTCTCTCTTGCCTGTCGCAGTGGAAGTCCGTGCTGAGTCCAGGTTCCGCAGCTCCTCAGCCTTCCGTCTGCAGCATCTCTGCTTCCTCCACAGGCAGCAGTCTCCAGGGTCACCAAGAGAAGGCGGAGCCTCGTGGTGGTCCTCTGGCCAAGGTCTCCTCCTCCCTGGAGCTGGTCGTCCCCCAGGAACCCTCCTCTGTGGTGGGGCTAGGACCTCGGCCCCAGTGGTCACCACAGCCTGTGTTCTCTGGGGGTGATGCTTCTGGGCTAGGCAGGAGACGCCTGTCCTTCCAGGCTGAATATTGGGCCTGTGTGCTGCCAGATTCCCTGCCTCCATCACCCGACCGCCACTCCCCTCTCTGGAACCCAAATAAAGAGTATGAAGATCTGCTTGACTATACTTACCCACTGAGGCCCAGGCCTCAGCTTCCAAAGCACCTTGATAGCCGTGTGCCGGCCGACCCTGTCCCGCAGGACTCGGGGGTAGACCTGGATAGCTTCTCTGTCTCTCCGGCAAGCACCCTCAAATCACCTACTAATGTCTCCCCCAACTGCCCAACAGCGGAGGCCACTGCCCTTCCATTTTCTGGGCCCAGAGAGCCAAGCCTTAAGCAGTGGCCCTCTGGAGTACCCCAGAAACAGGGTGGCATGGGCTTGGCATCTTGGAGCCAACTTGCATCTACCCCCAGAGCCCCAGGCAGTAGGGATGCTCCTTGGGAGCGCAGAGAGCCAGCCCTGAGGGGCGCGAAGGACCGGCTGGCTGCAGGCAAGCACCTTGATATGGGCTCTCCTCAGCTAAGGACACAGGACAGAGGGTGGCCCTTGCCCAGTCCAGAGAGGGAGAAGAGGACCAGCCAGAGTGCCCGGCGCCCTACCTGCACAGAGTCTAGGTGGAAATCAGAAGAGGAAGTGGAAAGTGACGACGAGTATCTTGCCCTGCCCGCTCGGCTAACACAGGTTTCTAGCCTGGTTTCGTATCTAGGATCCATTTCTACCTTGGTTACCCTGCCCACTGGGGATATTAAAGGGCAGAGCCCCCTGGAAGTGTCAGACAGTGATGGGCCAGCTTCCCTCCCTTCAAGCTCCAGCCAAAGCCAGCTGCCTCCTGGAGCTGCCCTCCGAGGATCTGGGGATCCTGAGGGCCAGAACCCCTGTTTCCTGCGCTCCTTCGTCCGTGCCCAGGACTCTGCAGGGGAAGGCAGTCTGGGGAGCAGCCAGGCCCTCGGGGTCTCCTCTGGACTGCTGAAAACACGCCCCTCCTTGCCAGCTAGATTGGAGCGGTGGCCATTCTCAGACCTAGATGCTGAAGGGCAGCTTCCCAGGAAAGGAGGAGAACAGGGAAAAGAATCACTGGTGCAATGTGTGAAGGTAATGACACTCAACATTAGGAGGCTTTGTGTACAGGTGTCTTGTCTCTTCCCCCAATCCACTAACATCATAATAAAACATGTTCATGTTGACCAGGCACTTTTTATGTGCCAGGCATTGTGCTGTACCTTATCTTATTCAGTCCTCACAACTTTTACCAGGTAAGCACTGTTCTCTTTTTACCTTTTGGAGAAAAGAGCAGAGAGAGGTTAGGTAACCTGCCCACTTAACAATTAGCAAGGGCTTGAGCCAGGAATCAGACCCAGGTAGACTGTTTGTAGAGGCTGAGCTCTTACTACCCTTGGCTACTTCGTAACTCAGAGGTATTCTGAACAAAAAGGGTTCCGTGCATAGGGGCCTTTAGGAAACACCGGGCTAAACAAAGGTAAGTGGCTTTCTTGACTGCAGGACTTCTCAGAGCTTCATTTGCCAAAGTGGTGTAAGTGCAAAGTTAGGGGCATTGGATGTACTGTTTTCTAGACTTTGTGGCCACTGGACCGTCTTTTGTGGACCAACTATCTTAATATCTGGAGGTATAAGGAACACTGCGTGGAACAGGGTTATCGGTGTCAGGCGTCTGAATTTGAAACATGGCACGGCTGTCTTTGGAATGTCGGCTCAGTCTCTCTGAGTTTGCTTGTTTGTAAAATGTGGAGCCCTGCCTTCTTGGGATGTTGTGTGCATTAAATAATTCATGTTGAGGGCTTTGGTGCATTCCCAGACCCGTGTTGAAGGTTCGGGAATGTGCCTGTCCAGGAACATGTCCTAGCGCTTGAGAAGGACTTTCACCTTCCAGGGAGGTGACGTGATTATTTTGTGAGGTAGGTAGGACATGTTATCATGGACCGTTCTTTACCAATAAAAGATTGAGATGCCATGAGGTGAAGTTGTTCTTGGGTGTAGCTTCAGGTTAGTCATGATTTTAGTCATTTATTTTGCATTCACTTTTCCAGAGAAACATGGACGTATCTGGCTCCAAGATGCTGATTCTAGTTAGTAATGGTGCTGATCCAATAATTGGTTTCCATGGCAGGCACACCTTTTCTGGGCTGCTCCATTCCCACCTGCAAGGCTGGGTTTTCTCATCCTGTCATTTTTGGTGTCACACCAGGCTGTGGTTTTCATTGCTCTGGCAGAGGGAGGTCTAGAGTCGTGGAGTGGGGACAGGTGAGCAAGGAGAAGAGAGGAGACTAAAGGTGCAGTCTGTCTCCAAGTCCTCCTGATATTTTTAGCCTTTTGATAACATGAATGGCTGTTCGATCAGTAACACCATATGTCCTTTTATTTGTCTCTGCAGACATTTTGCTGTCAACTGGAAGAGCTGATCCGCTGGCTGTATAATGTTGCAGATGTTACTGACCACGGGACTGCAGCCAGGTCCAATCTTACAAGTCTCAAGTCTTCTCTGCAACTTTACCGGGTAATATACGGTCCTGGCTCTGGCTTATTCCCTCACAAGAGTGGTGACTAAATTACTCGATTACAAAGTAAAATCTCAAATAACCAATGTCTGGTATGTTATAGCTCAGTTGACTATTATACCTGAAATCTAATTAGAGCTTCACATTCTTAAAGCGGAACGCTTTGTAAAATACATGAATTATTTCCCAGGCCAAATAGAGCTTGAAGATACAATATATTTATCTCAAATCAAAAATGCTTTAGGTATTGGGCTGGCAGGTGCAGTGGGACAAGTCTCTTATCCCAGCTACTCTGGAAGCTGAGGCAGGAAGATTGCTTGGGCCCAGGAGTTCAAGTAAAGCCTGAGCAACATAGCAAGACCCGCCCCCCCCATCTCAAAAAAAGTTTTTTCTTAATTAAAAGTAAAAACAAAAATACTTTAGGGTGATTTGCAATATAATTTTCCAAATGTCTCAGGGATTATAAGGACAGACTTGCACTATTATGACGCCTCTAGTTATGTGTGGCTATTGAAGTTAAAGACTCCGATTTTTTTATTTGCATTAGCCACATTCTGTGTGCTCAACCGTCACATTTGTCCAGTGGCTACCACGTTAAACAGTGCAGATATAGAATACTTCCATCATCACATAAAGTCCTATTGGACTGCACCGCTATTTAAAGATCTGAGCTGAAATTGTACTGACTCCAGAATCTACAATAGGGCATTTTGATGGTATTTAAACAGAAATCTAGGCCAGGCACCTTGGCTTACACTGTTAATCCCAGCACTTTGGGATGCTGAGGCTGGAGGATCACTTGAGCCCAGGAGTTCCAGACCAGCCTGGGCAATATAGCGAGACCTCATCTCTACAAAAAAAAAAAAAAAAAAAAAAAAACATATAAAAATTAGCTGAGTGTGGTGGCATGCACTAGCAGGAGGATGACTGGAACCCGGCAGGCAGAGGCTGCAGTGAGCCAAGGCCACACCACTGCACTGCAGCTTGGGCCACAGACTGAGACCGTCTCAAAAAACAAACAAAAACTCTGACTTCAGTTTGTGTGTGTGTGTATGTATTTGGGTTTGGTTTTAGTTTTGTTTCTTTATCATTAAGATTTTGTTATTTTGAAAATACTAATGTGGATTTCTGTTAACTTGGTCCTAGATTTAGGATGACTGCATCCCAGTTTGTGCCTGTTGTTCTGGCATAATAATAGGTGCCCTTTCAGTCTCAGAAGTGTCCTGAATTGGAGGATAAATTATATAGTTGTCATCCCTAAATCTAACGTTAACCTTGGCTGAACATCCTGCCTTCTAGCATATGTGGTTGGCTGCACCTTTCTCATCTCTTCATGAAGCAGCAGAGGGATATCCATGGTCTGAGCCTGAGGCTAGTCTGGAAGGAGTTTTCTAAAACAATTCTTTGAATTCCTACAACCTTATAACCTGACCATATCTTCAGCAGCAGAGGGCGTGATTTACATGTGCATGGGCCAGGGCTGAGCTGACTCTGGGCCTTCCTGGGACCGTACTCCAGCTAGAGGGAGGGAGCGGCTTTGTTTTCCAGCTTCGGGCCAACTAAAGTTTAGGGAGGAGCCTGGCTTGACCTGGGCAGGGTGGGCCAGCTGCTCCACCCTGGTGGGAATACTGTTTCCTGCAGTGTGGAGAGGTTGCTTTGAGTTCCTCACTTTGAGGAACTCCACAATGAGTTCCTCTCCACACTGCAGGAAATAGCATTCCCACTAGGGTGGAGTGAGCTTGAGGAAGGAGAGAGAGGCTGGCTCCAGGGGAGTCAGACTCCACGTGCAGACTCCACATGCATGCACACAGCTGTGCAGGGCCCAGGACCAGTACCACTACAGGGAGAGGAAGCTGCCTTGGTAGACCTAGGTTAGTGGCCTTTCCTGGCTTGTCAGAGCAGGGGCAAACAGAATAATTCCATCCCTCCATCTTATCCCTCTTCCCAGCCTTCTGTCCCTCAGCTTCCAAGCTAGACAGAAACAACCAGCTTGCTTTGTAGGTAGAGCTGAGATTTGAGCTGGGAGTCACTCCTGCAGGTCAGTGAGGCATAGGCCTCTTGTGTCACCCATACAGCTGTCACAAAGGGGGACTGTATTGCCAGCCCCTTCCCCGCACAGAATTGTGCATGGCTCATGCGTATGTATGTGCTACCTTGACTCCTGCTTGGATTAAGACCTAGTATAAGTGAGCGTGTGTGTGTGTGTGTGTGTGTGTTCACATATTTTAACTGTGACTCATTTTCTCATATACTTGTATTTCGTCTTAACACGGGGGTTGCAGCAGCACATAAACCACACTAGCAGAGAATAAAATAATAAGTATAGGTATCAGGGTAAAGGAAAACTAAAGACAGTAAAATAGTAAATCCAAGGGTAAAACTATCACTTCAAAATGGTAAAACGCCAAGTTCTGGCTGGGCGCGGTGGCTCATACCTGTAATCCCAGTACTTTGGGAGACTGAGGCAGGTGGATTGCTTGAGTTCAGGGGTTTGAGACCAGCCTGGGCAAAATAGTGAGACCCTGTCTCTATTTCTGTTAAAAATTTAAAAATTTATAAAAATCAGTCAGCAGGTTCTACACCCTGTACTAAAGGTGGTCATGGATTTGACTTTACTTTTTTTTTTTCTCTTTTTTTTTTTTTGAGACAGAGTCTCTCCCTTATTGCCCAGGCTGGAGTGCAATGGCATGATCTCGGCTCACCGCAACCTCCAAGTTCAAGCGATTCTCCTGCCTCAGCCTCCCGTGTAGCTGGGATTATAGGCATGCACCACCACACCCGGCTAATTTTTGTATTTTTAGTAGAGACGAGGTTTCTCTATGTTGGTCAGGGTGGTCTTGAACTCCCGACCTCAGGTGATCCGCCCGCCTTGGCCTCCCAGAGTGCTGGGATTACAGGTGTGAGTCACTGCACCTGGCCAACTTTACACTTCTTAACTGCTAAAGGAACATCAAGAACACCAGCTTGGTAGCCAAGAGGGGAAATCAAATGAGTTGCTTGGGAAACTCACAGCTTCCCAGATGTTGAGGTAGTTACCCTTGTGGTGTGCATAGAGCGAGAACATGGAGGGAGGACCAGAGGTAGAGGCAGTGGCTCTCTGCAGTCAGTTTAATGGCAGATCTCTTGTGGTCCATTAGAATGAAATAAATTCTGAGACTCCCATAGCCCTGAATTAAAAGAGAACCCCATGAGGTGAGGGCTTTGGAAGAAGACCCTAACTCCAAGCTGTGAGCCAGCCTCTGTCAGGGAAGACGCTTCTGAAGTCAAACTAAACAGGAAAAACTACTGACTCTATTTACCTGGGTTCAAAGAAGCTGAAGTTAAACTGTTGCACTGTTACTTGGGGAATTCTGCAGACCTAGTGGGGTGACTCTTCCACATTAGAGGGGAATAAGGCTACCCTGCATGCTGTGCTTTTCAAATAACTTTTACAAAACAATAGTAACGATGCTTCTTCCTTTTCTTCTTCTGGTACGCCTTAAGCAATTTAAGAAAGATATCGATGAACATCAGTCTCTGACGGAGAGTGTCTTACAGAAGGGGGAGATTCTTCTTCAGTGCCTGCTGGAGAACACCCCAGGTGAGATGCTTAAGGTTTTGGATTTAGCCAGAGCTTAATCCTTGTCAGCAGCAGGCCGAGGGACCGCACTATCCCTGGTAAGGAGCCGGTACCGCAAGAGTCCCTGCCCACACCCAACTGCCTGAGATGCCCCATGCCCCACCGTCTGCCAGCTCCACGCGTCGCTGCCCATCACTGCCCCTGCACACCTGCTTAGAGGCAGTCATGGTCATAAAACCAAACTAATTAGAAATTAGGTATTGAGCCTGCAAGAATGACGCTGTCTTTTGCTTCTCTTTTTGTATTTTTCTGGTGGTAGTCTGGGTAGGAATCCTAGTTTTAATCCACCAGCCCTTAGTTTGTGGCCAGGGTATTCAGTGGGTATCCCTCCGGTTCCCCACCTTACCTAGCCCAGGTTGAATTCCTCTCTGACTATCTGCTTTGTGTCCTACTTTGGGGAAATGTTTGTTTCAGAAAAGGATTGTATTGCTCAAAAGTATCTGAGGACAGTCAGTCTGTCCTCAGGGAACAGACTGAATAAAGAACTGATGAGAGGGGACAGGGTGGCAGTAGTGTGCAAACCAAGCTTTTTTTGTTTTGTTTTGTTTTGCTTTTGAGATGGAGTTTCGCTCTTGTTTCACAGGCTGGAGTGCACTGGTGCCATCTTGGCTCATGGCAACCTCCGCCTCCCGGATTCAAGTGATTCTCCTGCCTCAGCCTCCTGAGTAGCTGGAATTATAGGCATGCGCCACCACGCCCGGCTAATTTTGTATTTTTAGTAGAGACGGGGTTTCTCCATGTTGGTCAGGCTGGGCTCGAACTCCCGATCTCAGGTGATTTGCCTCCCTCAGCTTCTTAAAGTGCTGGGATTACAGGTGTGAGCCACTGCACCCGGCCCATTTTGTAGGATGGGTTCCCCATTTAGGAAAGTGAAAATCACAGACCTCAGGCATATATCTAAGCATGCTGGTGCCAAGGATATACAGTTCTTATTGTCTTTACAGGACGAGGGCATGGGGGATGGGGATGTGATAGGGAGGATGAGCTAAGAGAATGGTAGGGTAAAGCCTTGAACTGATGGCAGCCCCTAATTTCCTGCAAGAGTGTAAATCAAATGCTGACAGAGCCTGCCTATATTATGCCTCATTTTATGTTTTTTGAGTGAGATGGGATTTATACTGGAATCCAACCGCAGAAGCAAAGCTGGGCAGGTCCCACGGACTTGAGAGGCAGTGAGGAGGCGCTTTCCTGACCAGCATGGTGGGCAGGTACATACCATGGAGAAGCATATACAGCAGGATTTCTCAGTCTTGGTGCTTTTGCCATATTGGCCGCGTGATTTTGTGGGGGGTTGTCTTATGCATTGCAGGATGTTTAGCAGCACCCCGGCCCCACTAGATACCAGTAAATCCATTTCCCCCACAGTTGTGAAGACCCAAAATGTTTCTACACATTGCTAAGTGTACCCTGGGAAGAAAAATCTCTAGGGTTAACAGGCATCAGTGGACAAGGACCACTGAACGGTTTTCAGCAGGTAATTGATTCTCTAATGTGAATTATGTGAGCTCTTTGCAATCCCCTGCCCTTTTAAGGCCTTTATTTTGGGTCTTCTGGCATTTTCACTAGGGTTCTTAGATTTTTTGGGGGGCAGAAATTCCATGTGCAAGGCTCCTTTGCTGCATGTAAATTTACACCAGCATTTTACTGAAGCAGTTGGCACATCAGTGTTCTCCATTTAATCGCAGTCCTGTGAGGTGGACAGAGTTGTAGATTTGCCTCAGGCCACAGAAGAAGTGGCAGCCTCGCAGAGCCCCTGGGCACTGGCTTTCTGCAGCTTCCCAGCGTCTGGAGGTGCAGAGGCCTGAGCATCTCCTCTCTTCACGAAGGCCACGTGTAAAAGTAGGCCTCTAGACCGGGCGTGGTGGCTCACACCTCTAATCCCAGCACTTTGGGAGGCTGAGGTGGGCGGATCACCTGAGATCGGGAGTTCAAGACCAGCCTGACCAACATGGAGAAACCCCGTCTCTACTAAAAATACAAAATTAGCTGGGCGTGGTGGCACATGTCTGTAATCCCAGTTACTTGGGAGGCCGAGGAAGGTGAATCGCTTGAACCCGGGAGGTGGAGGTTACAGTAAGCCGAGATTGCGCCGCTGCACTCCAGCCTGGGCAACGAGCTAAACTTTTCAAAAAAAAAAAAAAAAAAAAGTAGGCCTCTTAAAAGCTTCAGGTTTTTTGACCTTCACTTTAAAATCCATTTAATAATACTTTTCTGTGCTTAGTCCCACTTTGCTCTTCTCTCAAAGAGATCTAGAGGTTTTTTTACTGGCTTTGGGGTTTTCTTTGGTTTTCAGATATGTATCCAGACTCTTTCAGATTGACACATAGCCCTTCCCCATCCATCTGCTTGAAATAATCAGGAATGTGGCTCTTTCCCCCTTGAGACTTCAGTGTCTCTCTCCAGCAGGTGCAAAACTTTTCTTCCACCAGGAGCACGCTGTCAAAGTCCACAGAGCCAGCAGACAAACATGTTTATTCCAGTCCTTCCCAACTTCTTTTATTTGGCCCCAACCAAACATTCTAACAGTCTAAATAAAAGTTCAAAAGCATCCGTGCGCGGTGGCTCACCCCTGTAATCTCAACACTTTGGGAGGCCAAAGTGGGCAGATCACCTGAGGTCAGGAGTTTGAGACCAGCCTGGCCAACATGGCGAAACCCCATCTCTACTAAAAGTACAAAAATTAGCCAGGCATGGTGACGGGCACCTGTAATCCCAGCTACTCAGGAGGCTGAGGCAGGAGAATCGCTTAAACCCGGGAAGCAGAGGTTGCAGTGAGCTGAGATCATGTCACTGTATTCCAGCCTGGGTGACAAGAGTAAGACTCCATCTCAAAATAAATAAATAAATAAAAGTTAAAAAACAAAGGTCCCTGAACCAATAGAGGTTTCTGTGACATCGCACAAGAAGACTGGGCAAAGGTCTCATGAGACTGGAGGGGTTAGCCAGCTGCGGTGGCTCATGCCTGTAATCCCAGCACTTTGGGAGGCCAAGGTGGGTGGATCACCTGAGGTCAGGAGTTTGAGACCAGGCTGGCCAACATGACAAAACCCCGTCTCTACTAAAAATACAAAAATTAGCCAGACGTGGTGGTGGATGCCAGTAATTCCAACTACTCAGGAAATGAGGCAAGAGAATCGCTTGAACCTGGGAGGCAGAGGTTGTAGTGAGCCAAGATCGCGCCACTGCACTCCAGCCTGGGTGACAGAGTGAGACTCCGTCTCAAAAAAAAAACAAAAAAAAAAAAAAAGAGGGGTAGAACCCAGCCCAGCCACCCTTACAGCCAAGCTTTACCGTGCGCTCTGACTGCAGTCCTCTGCCACACTTCGCCAACTCTTTTTGTGGACAGCACTTTGCCCTGATGACACCGCATCGATGTGGCTTCACTAGGCAAAGATCTTGATACAGCCAGCCTGTGTTCCTTCTCCTTCCACCCGTCCAGTCAGCATTGTCTGCAGATAGGCAGCTTCCCCTTTCCTTTCCTCTACTGACAGATGTTACAGCTGTGGCAGGAAACTAGGGAGAGTATTAGCACAGCTGATAAAGGCGCAGGAAACTACGACAGCCTTTGTGCTTAACAAAAATAAATTTTTGAAAAGAGAAAAAAGCCTGCTGTGTGTGATACACTCTGACCCTAGCCCATCCCTTCCTCACATGAACAATTCTGACACTGTGGGAATGAATCTTCCTTAGCCTGGTCTCAGGTCATTTTTTTGTTTTGTTTTGTTTTGTTTTGTTTTTGAGACAGAGTTTCACCCTTGTTGCCCAGGCTGGAGTACAATGGCACAATCTTGGCTCACTGCAACCTCTGCCTCCTGGGTTCAAGCGATTCTCCTGACTCAGCCTCCCGAGTAGCTGGGATTACAGGCATGCGCCACCACGCCTGGCTAATTTTGTATTTTTAGGAGAGACGGGGTTTTTTCTATGTTGGTCAGGCTGGTCTCAAACTCCCGACCTCAGGCGATCCACCCACCTTGGCCTCCCAAAGTGTTGGGATTACAGGCATGAGCCACCACGCCTGGCCAGGTCATTTTCTTTTTCAGTCTGTTCACTGGGGCCCTACAAAAAAGGGGTCTCAAGCACTCCCAAATCTATTACCAGACCACCCACGTGAAGTAACATTCCTCCCAGCCAATAGAAACTGATAGACCTGGTAGCAGGGGTAAGCATCTGAACCTTGGCATGTCGCTTTATTTCATTTAAGCCTTATGCCCAACAGGATCTGGATGTGCCCTTATAGAGATACCTGTCTTACCTCTAAAGTCAGGTAATACCAGCCATCAGAGAACCATGTCTCTGTGCCCCTCTGTAAATTATGCAATTTCAAAGTGAAGTCAGTGAATTCTTTTCTCAGCTTTAATCAGAAGTTAACAACATAGGTTCTCCAGTGCAACAGAAGTCCCTGGAGAATCCTTGTTGTAGGAATTATGTTGTAGGAATCCTTGTTGTAGGCCTTTAAAAAGGCCATTCAGAAACTACTGCCAGGTCCTACTTTGTGCAAAATACTATACCCTGTATGTTCTTTTGAAAATGCTAAGGACAACACTTGCGTGGGTTTTGTTTCTAGTTTAATTTCTTTGAACCTCATTGTTAGTTTTAGAGGATGTCCTTGGGAGGATCGCAAAGCAGTCTGGTGAGCTGGAGAGCCACGCAGATCGCCTGTATGACTCTATCTTGGCCTCGGTGGACACGCTTGCTGGCTGCACCCTTATCCCTGACAAAAAGCGCATGGCGGCAATGGAGCACCCATGTGAAGGGGTTTAACCTGGTGAGTAGAGGAACTCAAGAAGAAAATTTGCCCACCAACCCTGCTATAACAGTTGGCCACTACTTAGAAGCTTGTTAAGCCAAGAACTATTATTGAAACAAATGAGATACTGGAAGAAGAAAGCCAATGTTACTAAAAAAGGAGTTGCTGGTTTTCCTATGTAATGGTAGGCTCACTGTGGTACGTTCCATTACTGTTCACCCCTGCTGCCTGCTGAGGATGAGGGTGCCTCTGTGCTGCCATTTCTGTGGCACTTTCTTCACCGTCAACCCTGCCATCCCAAGACAAGAGCAGCAAAACTTAGCTATATACCTACTTTATTTCTGCACAGGTACACTTTTCCAGTATGGGGCCATGACCTGGCCGCCCCTGTTCTGCAGGATCTTCTCCCCAGCTCATTTGGTACTCCAAGCATCTCTGACAGCACCAAGTGCCCAGAGAAACCCAGGGTTACTCATAACTTTGCATCACCACTCCCCTGCCCTGCACAAAGGGTCTCCATATATCTCCCATACCACTCCCTTCCAAGAAGGCTAGGGGGATGAAGGGGTTAAGACACCTTGGAGACTTAACAGGTAGTACACCTTTCTTTTGCTCCCTTGAGAAAGTCAAACAGAATGACAGAAAAGGAGCTAGGAGAGCACGGGTGGGTGTGTCCACCAGAGTTGCTACTGCCAGTGCTTTTCATAATTCCGCAATTGGACTGTACTTTCTCTGAAACATCCTCTCCTACAACAAAATGTGTGTGGTGTTTAACTCGTAGATTCTCTAGGTGAGCATTATAGGTATGTTAAGAGCAGGGAGTCCCTGTATTTTTTAGCAGAGCAACTGTGAGAAGTCATCTTGATTCTAAAATGAATGCAGGGGACTGCTGTTGTTGTTTCTTCCTCTACAACATTATGTCTGTTAACAAATGCTGCCTTTTCTCTTTCAGGCATTTTCTCAGGCAGAGATGCAACCTGCCGGCCAAACACTGGTTGGTGAGGAAAAAAACCTTCAAGAAGTCCTTGCCAGAGCCATTCAACACCGAAGTCAAGGGGGAAACCTTCAATACGCTAGCTTTAAAATGCCTTTCTCCTCCCTGAATGGAGGGCTGAGTTACTATTTTCATTTACAATGAATCCTTCCAAACTAAGGTTTTCCTTTTGGTGCTTCTCCACAAAGAGTGTGTAGCTTTGCAATTTTTGATAAAACAAGACGTGTTGCCTTCCCCTCTATCCCATTAAAAAAGAGCAGATAAAGCTCAAACTATTCCACCTGGTAAGGTCATTTACCAAGGGCTGGTAGGAGTTTCCGAATACTCGATACTCTCAGGCATGCAAGAGGACCTAAGAGACTGAAAACAGTGAATGGTTGGCCAGAAACCTTGGGTCTTCTCATAAAAGGAAATTTGAGCTTGTCAATCCCTCTTTGAAGATTTAGGTAGAAGAGATTTTTAACCCTTTGTCTGCAAAAGAAAAAGGGTTAAATGAAGCACCTCTACAGATTACTTTGGGAGATTACGACACCTTTTGCCATCTTCAGGGCTTACGTCTTTACTTTCTTGGCTAACCAGTTTCTTAGAAGAAAATGTGTCAGGGACTTGGGGATCTGCAGTCGTGCTTTAGCATGGCTGTGGAGCTAATTATCAAGCTTAAAGGGTACCTTTGGGGGGACTCCTCCCTTCACTCCTAGTCTCCCTTGGAAGAGCAGTCCAGGCTCAGGGAAGGGAGTGGATGGGATGACACAGTAAGTACAGAAACTGAAGCTGTCAATAGTGAAAGAAAAAGGGGAATTCCTTGTTGCTTTGGCATTGACACATAAGTACTTTGATAGAAGAAAATAAAAACACTATGGATCAACCATTCGAAGCATCAATTCTATAGTTTTTTGAAGCAAGATGATCGGTTATTGCTGGTAACTGCAGATTCTACAGAAAAGCACTTTTAAAGTTCTGTTGGGCAATGAATGAACCTGGAAGGAGGAAAGCACAGTAACAATGGAAACTAAAGTCCTATTATTAATGTGACTTTTCTGCTTCAGAATCTCTGAGACTTTATAGTCACTGGAAAATAGCCATTAAATTCTTTAAAGATTAGCTCTTCAACAGTAGCTACATATAAAATGCAGTATTTCAAGTGCCTGATGCTGCTGTGGTATGCTTTATCATAATGCTTAAGGGCATGATCAAAATTAAAATGTCTTCTGAGTTTGCCATATTAATCTTAGTTCCATACACAGTGAGACTTTAAAAGAGAAAAATCACTCTAGCAAATAATTGTCAATTATAAACCTGTATGTAAAAATTCTTGAAAACCTAGAATTGGCTAAAAAGGTAGAGATGTCTGACGGCCTCTTAAATTGATATATTTTACCTTCTCTTAGATGTATATTTATAAGTAGGAACATGCCCTTCCATTGAGTATGTTACTGAATAGCCCTTAGGAAATTAAACCCATTTATTTACTAATATTTGACAGGCACGGAAGTGTATTAGCATAAAAATTGGAGATGAAAACCCTACAGAAACAAACTGGCCAATATTATACTAATTGAATGCAGAATGTGGCATTCTGTTCCCATTCAACCAATAATCAGCTTCAACTGACCAGACGTTTCACAGAATGTTACACAATACCCTGTTTCCCAAGAAAGTGCTACCTTACCTAGAGATGATCTAAGATATTTTTGTTCATCCTCTGAATAAGGTGTGACTAAGCGGTGCTAACTCCCTGGACCTGGCTGTGAATGCTGCTGAAGAGTATCAACACAACTGTTAATTATACCGCCCTGCTTTAAGTTTAAGACTTCCCTTAAAACTCAAGCTGAAATTGTTTCAGCCTAGTAAGATGCTGCCAGCAGCATTTCTATGAGCAAACATGGCCAAGTTAGAGTCAAGTAGCTGAGCTTGCTAATTGCACTGTGGTGCCACACTGGAATGTAGTCCCTTAAAATTAATGGAAGTTGAATCCACAGGGAAGTGATGATACTCAAAGCTGGATCAGCAGTTTCAAGATCTGGGTTCTTGGAGATCGATGGGTAAGCTCAGCAAATGGAAGACGATGTCAATACAGGGCTATTGTGAAGCTCAGGTGGGAATGGAACACAAAGGTTTGATGTAAGATACGCTGGAAAGGCAAGATATAGGCTAAGGGAAATTCAATCCAGGGTGAAAGAATAGGAAATTACTGCTCGGACCACAATGACTGTCATTCTGAAAGGATTTCACAGTGTGCAGCTGCTTAGATTTAAGAACACTCTTCACTATGTAATTTACAGCAGCACCTTATATTTAGAACAAGTGATAATTCCCTTTACTAAGTGAACAGATTATTAAAGCCCATAGCAGCCTTGAACCGTTTGTACTTGAAAATGTGGGTATAAAGGGGAATATATTTTTTCCAGAACCGCATTTATTGGCATACACATAGAAGCAGATCTTGCGGCATGCTGAAATTTGTTGTAAATCCCAATCTTTACTGCCATGGGAAAAGCTGGAATTTTCTAAACTTAAGTCTGTAAATATGCTCATCTTAAGTTCATGTAATGTTTCCGCTAACTCACCAAGAATAAGCTGACGATTTAAACAACTTTTACTGTATAAAACTGAAGTGCACGGCATGGCATCACAATATCTTGACATTCGTTTTGTGTCATTTTGCTACTTTAGAAAATAGTTTCTGAACTCCTTCCCCCTTTATACTGTATTAAGGCAGAAACAAAACTTTTGAAGCATTAAAGATCTTCACCAAAATAACTATTGGTAACTTCAGGAATTTGTCGGTTGCCTTACGTGAGGATGAATAGATCCACCAAGCACGCCTATAATACAAAGTAAACTATGATTTTTATTGTGAAATTTTCATAGATGGAAAATTGAATATTTATTCTGTCCATTTCATTTTACAGTTATCTTACCACTTATTTTTGTACCATGTATTTCAATTGCCTGTTTAGTGAAAAATAAAAATTAAAAAACCTATTAATTTTTGGCTTGTGTTTAGCTTAAATTTTATCATTAAATTAAGAAGCCCACAACAAAATATGTTGCCAGCAGCCATATCCCAAGCCCCTGTGTGAAGAATGTTTTGGCTGCTATTTCAACCTAAGGAAACAACCTTTGACCTCAGTCACCTTAAAATGCCAGTGTGGGCAGATTTTTTATTCCTCACAATTAAAAAACAAACAAAAAAAGACCCCTAGGATCTTGAAGGTCCTATTTCAGAAAATCTTCACACATGCAAAATGTCACCAAAATAAATACATTTCCCTCAATTATCATTACCACCCAGTATTCATGTTTTAATTTTTAGGGATATAATTTCTAAAATTAGATAAATCAAATTTCCTGCTTCCTATTTTAATGCTTAAACCCTCCTCCAACACCAAGTTAAGCAACTGTGGAGGATAAAATAGTTGAATCTGACTGAAAGCATGGAAGAAAAACATTAGCACACATTAGTCTGATCATTTGCCAATTAGGAAAGGTGCTGCTTTCTACCTCTACCACAGATGCATTTGTGAAATGTTGATCAATGAAGCCATTTCAAATGGTTTTAGAGAAGGATCAGAGATAATGGGCTAGATAGCATATATTCTAAACTTGTTTTCCATATAGTTTGAGCTCCCTGAACCACTGAAGTTGGTTAAATCCCTACACAGCACAGAAGCCTCTCTAGGTCATGTTATTGGGCATATTATCTAGAAAGCAAATACTGGATGCTGCTCTAAGATAGGTCTAGAATACCTTAGTTTGCATTGTGCACACACAAATGGCTGTGTTGAATATAATGCAAGGCTCTATTTCCCTTTAACCATAAGAATTAAAACAATACTTATCACCATACAGTTTGATATTACTTCCAATAAGTACAATATTTATTAAACATATCTTCAGTTGTTTTGTTACATAGTGTGCAACAAATTACAATATTCTGCAGCCACAAATTATATGCAGAGTATGAAGAAACTATTAATCAGATAGTGTAATCTTTCCATTTATAACTCTACAAGGAAGAACTAGCAAATCAGATCTTACATATAACATCTCACTAAACTTTATGCATGGAAAGTGACAGACACTGCTTGTGCTGTTTGATACAAAATGGCTGAACTTCATCTTCAGAAGACTAAACCTGACATCTAAACATGCCAATATAAACATCAAAACAAAATATATTCTAACCAACCACGGGAAACAGTCTGGTATCAGGAAAGCAACAAGGATTACACACATTATTTTATAAACCAGCACACAAAGGTTTAAAACAGTTCTGAAAATGAAGTTAGCTGTCTTGAGTCAAGGGAATAAAAAAAAAGTCAGTATTGACCATTTACAATCTCTGACCTTTGTGGAGACGGTAAGAATCTGTTGTAGTGCAGCTACATACAGTACAATTCAGGCAATTTTGTTTTTTCACTTGGGTTCAGATTGCAAATTCATTGCTGTGAGAAAAGGACGGAGGCAAATTTTAGCAGCAACCTCCACCTGACTGCTTGACCGGAGTGCTCTGAATTTTAACATTGGACTTCTCAGCACCACCAGCTGTTGCTCCGGGACCCATTCGCTTTTTAATCTCAGCTGCCATCGTCATGAAAGACTGTTCTACATTCGTTGCATTCTTAGCACTGGTTTCCAAAAACGGAATTCCAAGGGAATCAGCAAATTCCTAAGAGAATAATGAGGCACAATTAACACTGAAAAATCTTTTTCACTACTACTTAGTGCATTTCTACCATCCATAATGGAGCATGAGGAACTAATAAGTTCATTGGATCCAAACAGATGTTACACGAATTGTCACTGTCACAGTATTCTAGTGCACATATTTTTAAAAGTTAAGGTGGCTGTGGCCTTAGTATTACTGCAGAGCCCATACATAATTCAACACCTTCAAATTCAGTATGAAAATTAAACTTTAAACATACCTTTGCTGTTGTGTAGTCTACTACTTTCTTTGTGGTCAGATCACATTTGTTCCCTACCAACAATTTGTTGACATTTTCACTGGCATAACGATCTATTTCCTGCAGCCACTGTTTAACATTATTGAAGGACTCCTAAAAAGACATTTGAAAGTTTGATAATATGGTTCTGGAATAAATGGAAACAACCTTCCTGACCTAACAGACAAATAACAAAGAGCTAGTGAGACAACTCTAGGTACAAAATAACCACTGCTAAGGAGTGAAGGGGATTTTTTTTTTTTTTTTTTGAGACAGGGTCTTGCTGTGTTACCTAGGCCAGGGCGCAGTGGCACAATCACAGCTCACTGCACCCTCGACCTCCCAAGCTCAAGCCATCCTCCCGCTTCAGCCTCCGGGATAGCTGGGACTACAGGCACATGCCACCACACCTGGCTATTTTTTTTTTTTGGACTTTTTGTATAGATGGGGTTTCACTATGTTGCCCAGGCTGGTCTCAAACTCCTGAGCTCAAACAATCGGCCCACCTTGGCCTCAAAAATGCTGAGTTTACAGGTGTTAGCCACTGTGGCTGGCCGTAAACAGATATATTAAAATGACTATAAATATCTAAATGATGACAAACTAGAATTTACAGGCTTAATGATGAAAATACCTTATTTGAAAGGGAAATACAGCTTAATATTAAACTGCAACTCAGGCAAACCCAACTGCTTTGGAATATGCAATTTAAATGTACTACAAAACCTGGTTTTGAAATTTGATAATTTTTTTTTTTTGGGGGGGGGGGAGACAAAGTCTTGTTCTGTCATCCAGGCTGGAGTGCAATGGCACGATCTCGGCTCACTGCAACCTCTGCCTCCTGGGCTCAAGTGATTCTCCTGTCTCAGCCTCCCAAGTGACTGCTAGGATTACAGGCACGCGCCCCCACACCTGGCTAATTTTTGTCACGCCTGGCTAATTTTTGGTTTGTTTTTTTGTTTTTTCTTTTGGAGACAGAGTCTGGCTCTGTCACCCAGGCTGGAGTGCAGTGGCCGGATCTCAGCTCACTGCAAGCTCCGCCTCCCGGGTTTCCGCCATTCTCCTGCCTCAGCCTCCTCCCGGGTTTACGCCATTCTCCTGCCACCTCGCCCGGCTAGTTCTTTGTATTTTTTAGTAGAGACGGGGTTTCACCGTGTTAGCCAGGATGGTCTCGATCTCCTGACCTCGTGATCCGCCCGTCTCGGCCTCCCAAAGTGCTGGGATTACAGGCTTGAGCCACCGCGCCCGGCCTAATTTTTGTACTTTTAGTAGAGATGGGGTTTTGTCATGTTAGCCAGCCTGGTCTCTAACTCCTGGCCTCAGGTGATCCACCCGGCTCGGCCTCCCAAAGTGTGGGGATTACAGGCGTGAGCCACTGCACCCGGCTTGAAATTTGATAAAATTTTGGTTTATGAATAAGATGACCTACTGTTACTACTAGACATGTAAAAATGTTATTAAATATACTTATTTTCTTATCCACAGTCATATTTACAGGAGGAAAGTTTTCATTTAAAAGTATTTCACGGCAATATGACTAGAGATTTTTTTAAACTAGCATCATTTTTTTCTCTTGCAGATATCACCCACCCAGCACTTCTAATGGCACTGAATCAAAATGTTTACATGTAAGTTATCTCCTAATTAGCTATGATTTCATATTAGAGGTGAGATTTAACATTTGCCAAAAGAAAAATAAATTCCAATTTTGAATGTTTCTCTTCTGTCCTTTGATAGAAAGGACATCGAAATCTAAGTTTCTGATTAAAAATAATAATAACAAAAAAACAGTTATGGCCCCTGGAGTACATGCTTCACTGTCCCAGATTGTTCCCTCCATCACCCTGCCCTCTCTCACAGCTAATCTTCAGATACTCATTCTCATACTAAGATCCTCCTACAGCTTATCCTATTCAAATCCTTTTTTTCTGAACCACATCCTCCACAGGCAGAGACCCGCAAATCCCTCTTTTAGCAATTCTGATTACCAGGCCATATTCCTGTTAACAACACCAAGAATACAATATAAGTCAAGCAACTCACGATTCCCTACAAACTCTTGCCTATATGTTAGAGTCTTGGCTATTTGATCAGTTATTTAGTTCATAATAAATACAACCAGAATCCCTTGAAAGCAAATGTAAAACTTATTACTAATGTTCTATTTATTACAGGAAAAAAAATGTCTTTTAAGTGATTCACATTTATATTTGAGTGGACAAAGTTTTCTGCCATAAAGTTAATACTGATGGCTTATATGCGAAGTAGTAAATGAATCTTACATTAATCGAATAATGACTTCCTACTTGGTCACTGTAACACAATCTCCTCTTGGAACTTACCTGATCTGTCACATCATACACAACTATGATGCCATGGGCTCCTCTGTAATAACTGGAGGTGATTGTTCGAAATCTTTCCTGGCCTGCTGTGTCCCACTATTACAAAACAATCAAGAAATCCAAACAATTCCATTAAAATAAAGTTGGGGAAAAGTGTAGGAGGGAGGGGAAATAGTTTAGTTTTCATAACTGTGGAGATTATCAGGATGTGATATAGAAACATTAGTCCTCAACTCATACCACTATATTGCACAGTAATAAGTACCTGGAAGTCCAGAAAAGAAGGTAGTACCTACAACTGAGCTTACGATAATACTAAAATTACAAGCTGTTGAGAGCAGGAAGTATGTCATACTTTTCACATTCCCTACCGCCTTTAGCACCATGTTGAGGAATGTCACTGGCCTAAAGCCCTTGAACACAGAACTCTTCCATGTAAGACAAACTCACTTGCTTGCACATTCTACCATGATTAAATTAGCATTGGAGGGACCTGATTCAAATAACTACCAGTCAAGACAGAACTTTAATTATCCCAAGCAGGTGTCTTTTTCTTCCCCCCTTCAAGCAGGGTCTCAGATCTGTCATCCAGGCTGAGTGCAGTGGCATGATCATGGCTCACTGCAGCTTCAACCTCCCCAGCTCAAGCAATCCTCCCACCTGAGCCTCCTGAGGAGCTGGGACTATAGGTACATGCCACCACACTCAGCTAATTTTTTCTTTTTTGTAGAGACGGAGTTTTGCTATATTGCCCAGGCTGGTCTCAAATTCCTGGACTCAAGCAATTCTCCCAAAGTGCTGGCATTACTGGCATGAGCCACCATGCCTGGCCAGGTGTTGTCTTCATCCTAGAGAAAACAATGTAAGGAAGATGATTCCAAACACTTTTATAAAATGTATTTTAAGAGCAACTTAACTGCCTTTCAACTAGTTAGGCTCAAATTCCAAAAACAAATGCTGACATTATTGCATTATAGTTCTGGGTTTAAAAAAACTGTTGGGGCCGAGCGCGGTGGCTCAAGCCTGTAATCCCAGCACTTCAGGAGGCCGAGACAGGTGAATCACGAGGTCAGGAGATTGAGACCATCCCGGCTAACACGGAGAAACCCCGTCTCTACTAAAAAACACAAAAAACTAGCCAGGCGAGGTGGCGGGTCCCAGCTACTCAAGGGGCTGAGGCAGGAGAACGGTGCAAACCTGGGAGGTGGAGCTTGCAGTGAACTGAGATCCGGCCACTGCATTCCAGCCTGGGCAACAGAGCGAGACTCTGTCTCAAAAAAAAAAAAAAAAAAAAAAAAAACTGTTGGGACTGGGCACGGTGGCTCACGCCTGTAATCCCAACACTTTGGGAGGCTAAGGCAGTCGGATCACGAGGTCAGGAGTTCGAGACCAGCCTGACCAACATGCTAAAAACCCATCTCTACTAAAATTACAAAAATTAGCCATGCATGGTGCGCGCCTGTACTCTCCCAGCTACTCGGGTGACTGAGGCAGAAGAAAAGCTTGAACCCGGGAGGCGGAGGTTGCAGTGAGCCGAGATCGCACCATTACACTTCAGTTTGGGGGACAGAACGAGACTCCATCTCAAAAAAAAAGAGAAAACTGTTAGCCAGGTGCAGTGGCTCATGCCTGTAATCCCAGCACTTTGGGAGGCCAAAGCAGGAGGATCGCTTGAGGGCAGAAGTTGGAAACCAACCTACGCAACACAGCAAGACCCTGTCTCAACTAAATTAAAAAAATTAGTTGCGCAAGGTGGTGCACACCTGTAGTTGCAGCTATTTAGGAGGACTGCTTACGCCCAGGAGTTTGTAGTTACAGTGAGCTATTATTTTGCCACTGTGCTCCAGCCTAGGGGACAGAGGGAGACCCTATCTCTTAAAAAACAAAACAAAAAAAGTTAAAACTATCTAGACGCAAACTCAATTTTTAGATGTAAAAAGCTTTGGTTTGGTTTTTTTGTTGTTTTTGTTTTCGTTTTTTTTTGAGACAGAGTCTTGCTCTGTCTCCCAGGCTAGAGTGCAATGGCGTGATCTTGGCTCACTACAACATCCGCCTCCCAGGTTTAAGTGATTCTCCTGCCTCAGCCTCCCGAACAGCTGGGATTACAGACACCCACCACTACACCAGGCTAATTTTTGTATTTTTAGTAGAGACGGGGTTTCCCCATGTTGGCCAGGCTGGTCTCGAACTCCAGACCTCATGTGATCCACCTGCCTTGACCTCCCAAAGTGTTGGGATTACAGGCGTGAGCCACCCTGCCCAGACAAAGCCTTGGTTTTAACAAGGGGAATGATCGTGGACTGAGCCTCACTAAGATTTTAAATGACAAAACTTAAAAAAAAAAAGATGTTCAGTAGTATTCAGTGAAATCGCTTTCTTTTCCTGACCCAGCCAACATAGAGCTAAAAACAAGTTGCAATTTTGGGTAAACTGGAAGATGAGCTGGGTATTAAGGAATTAATGTCAGTTCTATTTGATGTGGTAACAAAATAGAGATGCATACTGAAGCATTTTGGAGTAAAATATCAAATGTCTATAATTTAATATACTCTACTACTAGAATAAGACAAATAATGTAAAATGTCAATAACTGTTAATCTAAAAAAGCAAATAAACAAAAATACAAATCACCACAGCTTTATTTCCTTTTCTGTCCAAATTACTAAGCCTGGGAGCTCAGAAGACTAGTTAGACAGTAATCAATAAAGAGGCTCAAGGCCAGGCGCGGTGGCTCACACCTGTAATCTCAGCACTTCGGGAGGCCAAGGCAGGCAGATCACTTGAGCTCAGGAGTTTGAGACCAGTCTGGGCATTGCTGGTCTCATGACATGGCGAAACCTCGTCTTTTACTAGAAAACCCAAAAATTAGCTAGGTATGCCAGGTATGGTGGTGTGTGCCTGTGGTCACAGCTACTTGGGAGGCTGAGGCAGGAGAATCACTTGAGCCCAGGAGGCAGAGGTTGCAGTGAGCTGAGATCATGCCACTGCACCCTGGGCAACAGAGCCAGATGCTGTCTCAATAAAAGAAGAAAAAAAGAGGCTCAAAGTCTTTCAGTGTATCTTTGGAGGGAGCATGAACTCTAGAATCAAGCCACCCTGACTTCAAAACATCAAATCTAGGTTCCTGGTTATTTAATATTAGGGAGAATCACCTAACAGTTTCTTCATCTGTAAATGCTAGATAGTATTCACCTTGTACAACAGCTAAAGGGGTTTAAAATGAACTAATGTTTGTAAAATGCGCCTGACTATAGAAACTGCTCAATAAAATAATTTCCTTTTCTTCCTTGCTCACCAACCCCTTTCACAAAGATAGAAGGAAAAATTGTTTTTTGACTAAAAAGTCAACAAGAAGTTATAGCTGACTAAAGTAAGCAATAGCATCCAAAAAGTAAAATTTCCTTTTTTTTTTTTTTTTTTTTAATGGAGGTACTGCTATGTTGCCCAGGCGGATCTTGAACTCCTGGGCTCGAGTGTTCCTCCTGCCTCAGCCTCCCAAGTAACTGGGACTACAGGCACTGATACGGTTTGGCTCCGTGTCCCCACCCAAATCTCATCTCAAGTTATAATCCCCACTTGTTGACTGAAGGAAGTGATTGGATTATGGCGACGGTTTCCCCCATTCGAGTGACAGTGAATGAATTCTCACAAGATCTGAGCGCCCTTCGCTTCCTTCACACACTCTCCCGCCCGCTGCCATGTAAGACGTGCCTGCTTCCCTTTCTGCCATGGTAAGTTTCCTGAGGCCTCCCCAGCCATGCAGAGCTGAGTCAATTAAACCTTTTTTTAATAAATCACCGAGTTTTGGTCAGTTCCTTGTGGCAGTGTGAGAACAGAATAATACATGCACCATGCCTGGCAGAAAGAGTAAAATTTCTGACGTTTCCTTGCTACTCTGAAAACTTTCCTGACTCTAAATCCTAACAGTACTAACAGTACTTTCCTTTGTATGTAATTCTCATTACCCCTCATAATCAGAGTAACTTTTTCCCATGTTCGTCTCTCCCACTGTCTGCCTCTTAATGGGCTATGTTTTATTCATCTCTGTAACCTCCAAGTGCCTGGTGTAATATAGACATTTTCATAAAGCCTCTTGAATGAACAATCACAGAAAGAGGCTTTCCATGGTATACAACTGGACTCAGTACCTGCCCTACCTTGCTGAATGTTTTGTAATCTAACAAAACTCAGATAAAGACCCAGATGTCACACCTGAACAGGAAAAGCGGAAAGGAAAAGATAATTAAAATATAAATCAACAGAATCAAGATTTTGAAAAGATCTAGAAAACTTGAAGGATTACTGAAGCCAAGCAAGAGGAAAAGATAGGATTAAAAGTAAAATCTTGTGCTTAGATTTTTGGTTTTTTTTTTTTTTTTGAGATGGAGTCTCACTCTGTCGCCAGGCTGGAGTGCAATGGCGCAATCTTGGCTCACTGCAATCTCTGCCTCTCGGGTTCAAGCGATTCCCCTGCCATAGCCTCCTGAGTAGCTGAGATTACAGGCACGAACCACCATGCCCAGCTAATTTTTTTGTACTTTTAGTAGAGATGGGGCTTCACTATGCTGGCCAGGCGGGTAATGAACTCCTGACCTCGTGATCTGCGTGCCTCCTCCTCCCAAAGTGCTGGGATTATAGGCATGAGCCACTGCGCCTGGCCTGTTTAGATTTTTAGAACACCAGTCATAGAAGTGTAAAGTAAGACCTTTTTTTTTTTTGAAACAGGGTCTCGCTCTGTTGCCCAGGCTAGAGTGCAAATGGCATGATCTTGGCTCACTGCAACCTCCATTTCCAGGCTCAAGCAATCCTCCCACCTTAGCCTCTTGAGTACCTTGGACTACAGGGACACACCACCATGCCTGGCTGAATTTTGTGTTTTTGGTAGAGACAGGGTTTCGCCATGTTGCCCATACTGGTCTTGAACTCATGAACTCAAGTGATCTGTCTGCCTGAGCCTCTCAAAGTACTGGGATTACAGGGGTGAGCAACTGCATGCGGCCAAGACCCCTCTTTTAATTAAAAACAAACAAATCAAAAACCTTAAGACCCAAACCAGAAATGATATGGCTACTGAAACAACAAATGGTTATGTCTTTGATTAATAATAATAAAGGGCCATGAGCCTTTGAACTTCAAGAGAGAAATTCATTCAGGCTCCAAATCAAGACAGGATTTACCTCATACTTGATTTAAGAAATCAAATTTAATAAAAGGCATTTATAAAATGTAAGAATAACCCAAACTGCACAAGGTTCTGAAAATATCATTACAGGAAAGAATGAGGAACTTCAGAGGTAGAAGAAAGGTGGTGATAAGATCAATCTGAAGGGCAGGCTTGCCAATAAAAGAGGAATTAATCTGATTCAGGCAGCTCCACAAGGCAGAGGAATAAGAAGAGACAGAAGTAAAAGGAAACAGGCTTAAGCTCAATATAAAGAATTAACATGTCTCTAAAAGATTCATGCAGGGCCGGGCGCGGTGGCTCAAGCCTGTAATCCCAGCACTTTGGGAGGCCGAGACGGGCGGATCACGAGGTCAGAAGATCGAGACAATCCTGACTAACACGGTGAAACCCCATCTCTACTAAAAATACAAAAAAAAAACTAGCCGGGCGAGGTGGCGGGCACCTGTAGTCGCAGTTACTCGGGAGGCTGAGGCAGGAGAATGGCGTAAACCCGGGAGGCGGAGCTTGCAGCGAGCCGAGATCGCGCCACTGCACTCCAGCCTGGGCGACAGAGTGAGACCCTGCCTTTAAAAAAAAAAAAAAAAAAAAAAAAGAATCATGCAGTGAGCTGAGATAGTGCCACTGCACTCCAGCCTGGGAGACAAAGTGAGATTTTGTCTCAAAAAAAAAAAAGAAAAGAAAAAAAAAAGGAATCACTAGGAATAAATAAATAAAAATAACTGGCAACTAGAGGTTTTGTGTTTTTTGTGTTTTTTTTCTGTATATTTTGCAGAGATTAGGTTTCACCATGTTGCTCAGGCTGGTCTTAGACCTCCTGAGCTCAGGCAATCTGCCGACCTTGGCCTCCCAAAGTGCTAGGACTATAAGCGTGAACCACGACGCCTGGACAGCCACTGCACCCAGCCTTATTTTGTTTTTGAGACAGGGTCTCACTCTGTCCCCAAAGCTGGGGTGCAATGGTGCAATCTTGCCTCACTGCAGTCTTCTGGGCTCAAACGTTCCTCCCACCTCAGTCTCCTGGGGAGTTAGGACTACAGGCATGACAGGCATGGACCACCACACCTGGCTTTTTTTTTTTTTTGGTAGAGATGGAGTCTCTATGTTGATCAGGTTGGTCACAGGAGCTATGTTTATTCCTGGCCTCAAGTGACTCTCTGACCTAGCCCTCCCAAAGTGCTGGGATTACAGGTGTGAGCCAACATGCCTGGCCGAAGTTATATATAAAATGGAACTAGCTACTTTGAAAAAATGGTAAGCCTCTTAAAAATGTTCAAAAAGCCAGGCGTGGTGGTTCACGCCTGTAATCCCAGCACTTTGGGCGGCCAAGATGGGTGGATCACTTGAGGTAAGGAGTTTGAGACCAGCCTGGCCAACATGGCGAAACCCCATCTCTATGAAAAATACAAAACTTATCCGAAGGCCGGGCACGGTGGCTCATGCCTGTAATTCCAGCACTTTGAGAAGCTGAGGCAGGCAGATCATGAGGTCAGGAGTTCAAAACCAGCCTAACCAACATGGTGAAACCCTGTCTCTACTAAAAATACAAAAAATTAGCAGGGCGTGGTGGCACATGCCTATAATCCCAGCTACTCAGGAGGCTGAGGCAAGAGAAGCACTTGAACCTGGGAGAAGGAGGTTGCAGTGAGCTGAGATCACACCACTACACTCCAGCCTGGGCGACACAGCAAGGCTCTGTCTCAAAAAAAAAAAAAAAAAATTGTCCGGGCATGGTGGTACACACATGTAATCCCAGCTATTAGGGAGGCTGAGGCAGGAGAATCACTTGAACCCAGGAGGCAGAGGTTGCAGTGAGCTGAAATCGCGCCACTGCACTCCAGCCTGGGAGACAGAGCAACACTGTATCTCAAAAAATAAAAAACACAAACAAAATGTTCAAAATGAGGCCTTCAGGCATGGAAAAGAAATTCCTATTAAAGATGAAAGACAAAGAGTGTCCATAAGATCCCCTCCAGCCACAGGAAAGTAACAAAATATGAATGTTTCACATACAAATACACACCCAAATCTTATGAAAGCCAATGATCACACACACATAATACAATTATTCCATACCAGTACTTTAAAGTACAGTTTTGGGTAGATCTTTATGTACTCTTTATGCTGCCAAATAAAAAGTTGATAATGTACTTATATAGCGGGAAAAAATATGGATGGTAATTTGTTCACTGATTGAAAGTATTTCAAGCTATTTCTGAAAACTAAATCCTTGCAAGTCCTAATTTGACACATCAAGTGTATTTACTTATATCAATACCCACATCCACCTATCTTTTGTAACATACCTTCTTTTCCTCATCAGAATCATATAAGGGAGCAACTTAACCTATCAAACACCCATTTATCTGGGCATGTCATATCATAAGTAGTATCTATATACTGCCCAAAAGTTTACAAAGGGCTTTCACGTGTATTGTCACATACATAAAGCTGTTAGATTTGGTTCTCACAACTACCTTATAAATTAGTAAATCAGGTGTCATCACACTCACTTTAGAAACGAAACTGGGTCTCAGGGTTACTTCGGCCTTTTCCCCCAAGACACAAACCCATGATTCTCTAACAAGTAAACACGAGATCCAAGACAACAAATCTAAGTCTTCTGACTCCTAATACAGGACTCCTTCCAGTTCCACGTGTCATCAGTTCCATGAAAAGGGGCAGTCACTGGTTTCCTGTGTTTATAGCCTACTTCTTGCTAATAGCCTACTCTGAAAACTACTGAGAGATTTATTTTTTAAAAGACCACAGATATGTCCACACTGACAGGACTCAGACCCATACTGAAGAGGCACAACTGAACTATTATACCTGCCTATATTTAATTGGGGGCTGGGGGTATAAAGATGGGTAAGGGGGATAGGATGGCACAGACACACAAAATATTGAAGACAGAGCTTCGGTCACTTGGTTCTACCAGTAACTGTAGGCAAGTCATTAAATCTTTCAGCATTCATTTTTTTTGAGCAGTAAAATGAACATGTTACAAAAACTAAGTTCCTTTCCAACAAAATTCCGTGTTTCTACAGAGTTGGTGCACACTATCTAATAAAAATACTTAAAACAGAACTACATAAGTACTTTTCTTCAACTGAGCCACATATGAACAATCTCTTCCTAGGGTTCCTTTAATGTTCCATGCACTTAGCACAGTAAAAGACAAACAAAAATGGTCTGTAACATTTGCACTGTAGGACAAGGTAAACTTGAACTTAGATTTCCCCCGATAAAAGAAAAAGATGAGGACCAAGTTTGACTTAAAACATGAGTTTCTCTGCTTCATAAACAGAAAATTCAGTGAGGCTTAAGTAATCTTGAAAACATATTTTTAATCTAAATAATTCTTATTCTACTATTCTATCTTAAGTACATGATTCTTAAGACATTTTACATTCAATTGTTCGCATATTAAATATATACAAAATAATACATTACAAATTTGCCAAAATAAATTCCAAAAAAGTTACTAGCCAAAAGTCACTTACTATTTGAAGCTTGATTGTTTTCCCGTCTAACTCTATAGTTCTTATTTTGAAATCCACACCAATTGTGCTGATGTAGCTTTCTGTATATGTATCATCCTGAAGGGGGAAATAATTAACAATTAAATGTATTGTTCAGTGGAGCAGATGCAAATCTAAGTGAAAAAAAAAAACTGCTGTTCAAGAGTAAATTAAAAAAATCATGTTTACTTTTATCTACAGTCCAAGTTTATGAATGAAATGTATAAAGTATAACATGCTGACAACAGTCACTCCATCCACTTTCAGTACTTTCTTTATATTCTGATTCGAAAGCACTACTTAACTGTAGTTTCTTCTTTCCTTAAGATCTCTACAATAGCCATTCTTTATTTTTTCCAAACATCATCTCTTGCCACATTCTTTACATACATTATATAGAAAAATATTTTATATTTTCAATGATTATGAATAATTTTTCTAATCACTAATCAGCAAAACTCTTGTGACCCACCTACCCAATTTATTCACCACAAAACAACAATCATTTCACTCCACTATTATGAACTTTTTCTCAGAAGTCAATCTTGCTTCCTAATGATTTTTTTTTTTTTTAGATATAATGCACATAACATAAAAGTCACCCTTTTGAAGTGGACAATTCAGTGGTTCTTATACATTCACAAGGTTGCAAACTACAACCACGAATTCCAGGATATTTTCATCACTCCAGAAAGAACCCTGTACCCGTTCCAGAAAGAACCCGTCTTCACACCCTGGCAACCACTGATCTACTTTCTGTCTCCTTAGATTTGCCAATTTTGGACATTTCGTATAAATGGAATCACAAAATATCTGGCCCTCTGTGTCTGCCTTTATTTAGCAGAACATTTCCAAGGTTCATCCATGTTATACCATGCAACACAACTTCATTACTTCATTCTTTTTTTTTTTTTTTTTGAGGCAGGGTGTTGCTCTGTTGCCCAGGCTGGAGTGCACTGTCATGATCTCAGTTCACTGCAACTTCTGTCTCCTAGGTTCAAGCGATCCTCATGACTCAGCCACCTGAGTAGTTGGGACTACAGGCATGCATCACCACACCTGCCTAATTTATGTATGTTTAGTAGAGATGGGGTTTGTGATGATGGTCAGGCTAGTCTCAAACTCCTGGCCTCAAGTGATCCCCTTGCCTCAGCCTCTCAAAGTGTTGGGATTACAGGTGTGAGCCACCATGCCTGGCCCATTTTATTGGCTGAATAATACTACATGTACAAATATACCACATTTTATCTATTCATAAATTGATTTGGGTTGTTTCCACTTTTTGGCTATTACGAATAATGCAGCTATGAACATTTGTGCACAAGCTTTCCTGTGAATGTATGTTTCCTGTTAATTTTTTAACCCAATGTTAAACTTTTAAAATTATAACTGCTCGGTGGCTCAAGCCTGTAATCCCAGCACTTTGGGAGGCCAAGACGGGCGGATCACGAGGTCAGGAGATCGAGACCATCCTGGCTAACACAGTGAAACCCCGTCTCTACTAAAAAATACAAAAAACTAGCCGGGCGAGGTGGCGGGCGCCTGTAGTCCCAGCTACTCGGGAGGCTGAGGCAGGAGAATGGCGTGAACCCAGGAGGCGGAGCTTGCAGTGAGCTGAGATCCGGCCACTGCACTCCAGCCTGGGCGGCAGAGCGAGACTCCGTCTCAAAAAAAAAAAAAAAAAATTATAACTGCTTCTCGCAAGTACCTGCCACGAAATTTTATTAAGAATGGAATAAAAATATTTCTTGTGAAAAGATATATGAATGAACAGACCAGGCTATCATTATGTGAACCACAAAGCACCACCTAATAAGTATTCTGTCAACAAAGATGGACCTTAATCGAATCAAGTCTAATGAGAACAGCACTGCCAAACAGAACTTTCTGTGACAGTGGAAAGGTTCTATAAGCTGTGCTAGCCAATATGGCAGCCATTAGCCCTATGCGGCTTGTGAAACAAGAAACTAAATTTTTTATTGTTTTTCTATTATTTTTCCCCCTTAATGGGACAGGGTCTCGATGTCTCCCAAGCTAGAGTACAATCACAGCTCACTGAAGCCTTGAACTCCTGCACTCAAGCAATCCTCCCACCTTGGCCTCCCAAAGTGCTGGATTACAGGTGTGAGCCACCAAACTTTTTCAGTTTTAATTAATCTAAATTTAAATAGCTACAAAGAGCTAGTAGCCACTCTAAGGATAGTGTAGTTCTAGATCTTCTAATTACAGAAAGAGGGATAAACAAATAAGCATAAGGGCATCGCAAGGAAGCAAAATAACAAATAAAAAATACTAGACAATCTACAGGACAAATGCTCCAGTTTCTGAAAAAAGTCAATGGCATAAAAAAATATATAAATAAAGGCCGGGCGCGGTGCCTCACACCTGTAATCCCAGCACTTTGGGAGACCAAGGCGGGCGGATCACAAGGTCAGGAGATCGAGACCATCCTGGCTAACACAGTGAAACTCCGTCTCTACTAAAAATACAAAAAATTAGCCGGGTGTGGTGACAGGCGCCTACAGGTCCAGCTACTCGGGAGGCTGAGGCAGGAGAATGGCATGAACCCGGGAGGCGGAGCTTGCAGTGAGCCAAAATCACGCCACTGCACTCCAGCCTGGGTGACAGAGCGAGACTTCGTCTCCAAAAAATACATATATATATATATGTGTGTGTGTGTGTGTATATATATATATATGGTAAGTTATAAAACTCTAGATTAAAAGACTAAGCAACAAAACAACCAATGGAAAACGTATTTTGTAGGTTGATAATGGCAATGTCATTTTATAGAAAACATTTTTAGAAACATGGGCGGGGCATGGTGGCTCACGCCTGTAATACCAGCACTTTCGGAGGCTGAGGTGAGTGGATCACAAGGACAGGAGTTCGAGATCAGCCTGGCCAGGATGGTGAAACCCCATCTCTACTAAAAATACAAAAAAATTAGCTGGGTGTGGTGGCGGGTGCCTGTAATCCCAGCTACTCAGGAGGCTGAGGCAGGAGAATCACTTGAACCCAGGAGGTGGAGGTTGCAGTGAGCCGAGATCGTGCCACTGTACTCCAGCCTGGACGACAGAACTAGACTCCATCTCAAAAATAAAAAAGAAAGAAATACTGAATTCTTATAAATCCCTAAATGACCTTAACTCCCACGCCTCTGAGCTGTTACTATTCCTTCTGCCCAAAAGCCTCAGTTATCTCTTTCTGCATAACCCTATTTATTCCCCAGCCCCAAGGTCATATGGCATTTATTCATCTGATTTTAAGCTCAGGCAATACTGAGTGCCCAATTTCTTCAACTCCTCAGCCAACAGATTCTTCCCTCTGTGCCCCCAAAACTTATTGCACATTTCTTTATTATAGTCCTCATCACAACTGTCTCTATTAATATTTTGAGGATATAGGGATCAGCATTTTAAAAATACTTTCCAGGTATCCTACTATGTAGGCAGCACTGGAAAACCTCTGACTTCAAGCAATGGGCATCCCAGAGAGGGTTTTCCTTGAAGCACAAACACCTCAGGCTACAGCTAGATTCTTCCCACCTACTGAGTGTTGCTTAAGAATTATTCTTAATTTTAATATTTGCCAATTTAATAAAAATTAAATGATACCTAATTTTAACTTAAAGGCGTTTAATTACAAACAAAGTTGAGCTTTTTTTTCATGTTTATTGGCAATTTGTATTACTTTTTTTTTTTTTTGAGACAGAGTTTTGCTCTTGTTGCCCAGGTTGGAGTGCAAAGGTGCAATCTCAGCTCACCACAACCTCCGCCTCCCAGGTTCAAGCGATTCTCCTGCCTCAGCCTCCAGAGTAGCTGGGATTTACAGGCATACGCCACCACACCCAACTAATTTTGTATTTTTAGTAGACACGGGGTTTCTCCATGTTGGTCAGGCTGGTCTCAAACTCCTGATCTCAGGTGATCCGCCAGCCTCAGCCTCCCAAAATGCTGGGATTACAGGCATGAGCCACCGCACTCAACTGGCAATTTGTATTACTTCTTTTTTCAACTGACTGCTGATGTATTTGCCACTACTTCCATTAGGACAAACATTCTTTTCTTATTGATGTGCAAATGTACTTTACATATTGAGAATACCAATCCTCATATATATTTATTTGCTAGTGCCATTAGTTTTCTAACATTTTTGTGCCCGTGACAAATTAATTTTAATACAATCAAATGTAGCAGTGATTTCTTTTTTTCTTATTTTAGAAAATATCTTCATACACCAAGATTAAAGAGCCACCTATGTTTTATTCTAGTACTTCATGGTTTTATTTTTAACTGTTATATAAAAAGAATTATACAATATTTCACATTTTTTAAATAACCTTCATTAATATTGGCACTCATCAGAAAAGTCGTATGTATTTAGGATACTGTCAAGCAGTAAACTGTAAGTTTTTTCAAATTCTAATTTTCCATTGTAAACTTAAATTTTATTTCAGCCAACAAATGCTTGCAGCTACTTCCCTTGAAATGACTATCACAGTTCATCTGAGAAAATATGTCAAATAGCCAATTCTGTACAATTCTAATCTAATTTGTCTGTTAGCTGTTGCTTTCAAGTTAAAAAAAAAAAAAAAAAAGGCCGGGCGTGGTGGCTCACGCCTGTAATCCCAGCACTTTGGGAGGCTGAGGCAGGCGGATCACCTGAGGCCAGGAGTTCGAGATCAGCCTGGCCAACATGGTAAAACCCCATCTCTACTAAAAATACAAAAACTAGCTGGCCTTGCTGCCTATAATCCCAGCTGCTTGGGAGGCTGAGGCAGAAGAATTGCTTGAACCCAGAAGGTGGAGGTTGCCGTTAGCCAAGATCGCACCATTGCACTCCAGCCTGGGAAACAGAGCAATATTACATCTCAAAAAATAAAATAAAATAAAATGGTATTCCATGGAAAAAAATAAAGCAGTTAGCTCAGCTTACAACTCAAAAAACTATAAATGCTTTTCTTTTTTCCAAAATAACCAACACACTAGCCAGTATGCAGTCAGAAGTGCTTTCTCCAGCACTTTGGGAGACTGAGACATGTGGATCGCTTGAGCTCAGAAGTTCGAGACCAGCCTCAGCAACAAAGTGAGACTCTTGTCGCTACAAAAAAATACAAAAATTAGCCAGGCATGATGACGCATGCCTGTGGTCCCAGCCACTTGGGAGGCTGAGGTGGGAGAATGGTTTGAGCCTGGGAGCCAGAGACCATGCCGCTGTACTCTCGCCTTGGCGACAGAGTCAGACTCTGTCTCAAAAAAAAAAAAAAAAGTTTTATGTGAACTTCCCATTTCTTCACAAATATTTTTAAAGGAATACTCATGGATCAACATTTTTCAAAAATTAATAATTTTAACTGTTTTGTCAAGGACATTCTTCAATAAAAATGGCAGGGTTTGTTGTTGTTCCTGTGAGTACACAGAGGTAAAGAATGCCATCACTATGAGTACAATCTGGAGCTTAGCACTGCCTTGATGTGTACCAAGCCACCAGCAATTTTACCCACATTGCTTTTGTACTACCAGAGCCAATGTCATCACTGAAAAAGGCAAACATCTTTTATTTTAGTATTATTACCAAATAAATATTTCCTTACAAATACTAATGTCTTAGTATTATTAGGATATTCTGACCTCATGGGCTACCGGAGAGGGTCTTGGTAACCCCCAGGAGTCTTTGGTCCCTGCTCTGAGAAACAATGATCTAGACAGTAAGAAGGGAAACACGCTAATTTATATATATATATACACACACACACACACACACACACACACACACACACACACACATATATTTTTTTTTTGAGAGACAGTCTTGCTCTGTTGCCAGGCTGGAGTGCAGCGGCGCAATCTCAGCTCACTGCAACCTCCGCCTCCTGGGTTCAAGTGATTCTCCTGCCTCAGCCTCCCAAATAGTTGGGACTACAGGCATGTGCTACCACGCCCAGCTAATTTTTTGTATTTTTAGTAGAGACAGGGTTTCACACCATGTTGGCCAGGATGGTCTCGATCTTTTGACCTTGTGATCCACCCATCTCGGCCTCCCAAAGTGCTGGGATTATAGGCATGAGCCACCACGCCTGGCCAGGAAACATGCTAAATGTAAAGGTAGTTGATAAAGACTATGAAGGACACTGTGGATTCTGCTGTCTAAAGTCTATCTGTCAGCTTCAGCATTTAGAACTATGCCACTGGCCAACAAAGTTTGTCCAGGACTCTACTTTTTCTTTAATTAATTAATTTTTTTTTTTTTTTTTCCCCAGAGACAGAGTCATGCTATGTTGCCCAGGTTGGTCTCAAACTCCTGGCCTCAAGTGATCCTTCCACCCCCAGCATCCTGAGTAGCTGAGATTGCAGGCATGGGCCACTGCACCACATGGCTCTGCTTTTTCTTTTTATTCTACCAAAGTTTAACTTTAAGGTTTATTTTCATCAAGTCACTTTCAACACAGGCCAACAACTACCCCTTTAACTTGGTGCCTATATTGGAACTGCTGTTTGACTCTGACCAAAAATATTAGACATTCTGACTTTAAAACCATACTTCACTGAATTTAAGAGCAGCAATATTTTTTAACAGTCCAAGATACCACTGGGGATGCATATTTGGAGTCCTTAAATATATAAATTCTGGAATAATTAACTTATTCTGAATAAAACTTTAATTTTTTTTGTCTACCTAGAAAACATACATGGCATTAAGTATACCATTAATTGTAAAGGCATTTCAATTTCAACTTACTGCAAACCTAAGAAGAAGGCAAGACTTTCCAACCCCAGAGTCGCCAATCAGAAGTAACTTGAATAAATAATCACTGCAAAAAGAAAAAGAAAATGATGTTAATAAAAAGCATACTGCATTATTGTAAGCTATAAACAACAAAAACACAGCTACAAATAACAACTCACTGTGAAGACTACATCTCCTATAAAGCCCATGCATGGCTTAAGCCAAAACTGGGAACAGCTGCAGCCCTTCTGACAGATCACTAAACATGACAGAATATGTAAAAAGTAGGCAATGCCACCTATGATCTCTAACATCAGTGAACTTCCACTTAAAAGGAAAGAAGGAAAAGAAAAATAAGTGATATGCACTCTTGGACTGCCCAAGATACTTTAAACATTCTAAATAAATCCCACTCCTCTACAGTATTAGATTACAGAAAGCTAACTTTTCATTGTTTTTACCCATGAAATATTAGTCTCTCCTTCAAATTCTAAGATCAGGCCAGGCGCAGTGGCTCACACCTGTAATCCCAACACTTTGGGAAGCCAAGGCAGGCAGTTCACTTGAGGTCAGGAATTCAAGACCAGCCTGACCAACACAGTGAAACTCTGTCTCTATTAAAAATACAAAAATTAGCCAGGCATGGTAGTGGGTGCCTGTAATCCCAGCTACTCAGGAGGCTGAGGCAGAAGAACTGCTTGAACCCAGGAGGCAAAGGTTGCAGTAAGCCGAGACGCTGCACTCCAGCTCCAGCCTGGGCAATAAGAATGAAACTGTCTCAAAATGAGGAAAAAAAAAAAATTCCAAGATCAAATAATTTCACAGCACTCCTCCAATGAAGGGGTTTTCATGATCCTTCTCTAGCATCCAGCTTGAATTCTGCCCTCAAAACAATGTTCATTTAACTTCTGAAAGCCCTTATTATATTTTAAACTAGAAATGTGGTAAATTCACAGGCTGTTTAAGTGCAAAACTTGACCAACATTCTACACTTGTATTAAAGCATTTTTCAGAACCATTGAAAACCAGGCTCTTTTTTTTTTTTTTTTTTGAGATGGAGTCTTGCTCTTGTCACCAGGCTGGAGTACAGTGGCGCGATCTCGGCTCACCGCAACCTCTGCCTCCCTGGTTCAAGTGATTCTTCTACCTCAGCCTCCCAAGTAGCTGGGAATACAGGCATGCACCACCATGCACAGCTAATTTTTGTATTTTTAGTAGAGACGGGATTTCACCATGTTGGCCACGACGGTCTCAATCTCCTGACCTCATGATCTGCCCGCCTCAGTCTCCCAAGGTGCTGGGATTACAGGTGTAAGCCACCGCGCCCAGCAATAAAACGAGGCTCGCTTTATGTATCTCTAACATTGCCAGGCCTAACTCAAAAACTATCCCCAGAGATTACTTCATGGAACTAAGACAACATATTATTCATCCATGGTCTCCAAGGAAATCCCTCATAGATCCTTTCCAACTCAGACCAGTTCTATGCATTCTTTTAAGCAATTTCAAAAGGACAAAAACCTTAGAATTTACATATCGGTTTTGTAGAAGATACACGTGATTTTGTATTTGTCTTTTTTGATTTACTTTCCAAAAAATGCTAAAGTGAAAACCACATCACAATTTAGATTAAAATTATGTACATATAAACAAAATATAAAACTTTTTATTTTTTTCATTTTAATTGCACTGCCAAAAAAGAGAGGATATAAAACTTCCATTAAGTGATTATCTTTGTGAATATTTAACTATTATGTAGGTTTACATAATGATATGCATTACTTAAAACATTGTTTTGGTTTTAGCAAACTACCATATTACACTTATTGTTATACTTATTGTCCTTAATTATCAGCAGCAAAACAGAAGTCAGAGAAGAAAACAAAAAGCTTTTTTTTTTTTTTTTTTTTGAGACGGAGTCTTGCTCTGTCACCCAGGCTGGAGTGCAGTGGCTGGATCTCAGCTCACTGCAAGCTCTGCCTCCCGGGTTTATGCCATTCTCCTGCCTCAGCCTCCCGAGTAGCTGGGACTACAGGCGCCCACCACCGCGCCTGGCTAGTTTTTTGTATTTTTTAGTAGAGACGGGGTTTTACCATGTTAGCCAGGATGGTCTCGATCTCCTGACCTCGTGATCCGCCCGTCTTGGCCTCCCAAAGTGCTGGGATTACAGGCTTGAGCCACCACGCCCGGCCAACAAAAAGCTTTTAAACAAGTAAATCAGAAGAGGGGACTGAAGCACAGAATGAACTAGACATCCTTTCCAGTTTGAGATTTTAAAATTTTTTAAAAGATTGCTATTGTAGAATATTATCCTTAATAAATGATACCTAATATCAACAATTTGTATGTGGCAATTCAGCTGGCTGACTGACTTTACTACTATTGATAAGGTTCCTTCTTAATTAAACCAAATATTCTTTTTTTTTTTTTTTTTTTGAGACAGAGTCTTGCTCTGTTGCTCAGGCTAATTTTTGCGTTTTTAGTAAACACAGGGTTTCACCATGTTGGTCAGGCTGGTCTCCAACTCCTGACCTCAAGCGATCTACCCGTCTTGGCCTCCCAAAGTGCTGGGATTACAGGTGTGAGCCATCGTGCCCGGCCCCAAATATTCTTTTGTTGTTTGTTTGTTTTGAGACAAGAGTCTCGCTCTGTCGCCCAGGCTGGAGTGCACTGAAGCAATCTCAGGTCACTGCAGCCTCCACCTCCCAGGTTCAAGCAATTCTCCTGCATCATCCTCCAAAGTAGCTGGGATTACAGGCATGTGCCACCACGCCCAGCTAATCTTTGTGTTTCTAGTAAAGACAGGAATTTCACCATGTTGGCCAGGCTGGTCTCAAACTCCTGACCTCAGGTAATCCGCCTGCCTCAGCCTCCCAAAGTGCTGGGATTACAGGCGTGAGCCACAGCGCCCAGCGCCAAACATTCTTAAGAATACTAAACACCGAACATTAACAATGAGTATATGTTAAGAATTTACATGTATTAAGATAGCAAGACTATCACAGCATTGATACTACCATAGTAGGTTGGTTTTTTGGGGGGATGTTGTTGTTGTTATTACAGAGTCTCACTCTGTCGCCCAGACTGGAGTGCAGTGGCTCAATCTCGACTCACTGCAACCTCTGCCTCCAGGGTTCAAGTGATTCTCAGGCCTCAGCCTCCTGAGTAGCTGGGATTTAATAGGGAGGTTTTTAAACAAGTTTCAACACAACAACTGGACTTAACGTACCAATCTCCCTGAGCACCATGCCAGGCATCCAAACACTCAAAAACATTCTCTGAATTCGCCTTACTGGACCCAGTTACAGTAAAGGACTGTACAGGGCCTCAGATGTTGTCTGAAGTATCACCTTAAAGATCAACAACTCAGGCCAGGCGTAGTGGCTCACGCCTGAGGTCAGAAGTTCCAGACCAGCCTGGCCAACATGGTGAAACCCTGTCTCTACTAAAAATACTAAAATTAGCCAGGTGTGGTGATGGGCAGCTTTAATCCCAGCTACTCGGGAGGCTGACCCATGAGAATTGCTTGAACTCAGGAGGTGGAGGTTGCAGTGAGCTCAGCCTGGGCAAAAGAGGAGTTTCAAAAAAAAAAAACAAAATCAACAACTCTATTTCAGAGCAACCATCAAGCTTTAAAAAACATGAATGGGCCCCCTGAGGTCAGGTGATTAGCTGGGTGTGGTGGCGGGCACCTGTAATCCCAGCTACTCGGGAGGCTGAGGCAGGAGAATCACTTGAACCTGGGAGGCGGAGGTTGCAGTGAGCTGAAATCATGCACTCCAGCCTGGGCAACAAGAGCAAAACTCCATCTCAAAAAAAAAAAAAAAGAAAGAAAGAAACATGAAGCCTTTCTAATTGCATTACAAGTTACATTATGGATTCAAGAAATTAATAGTCAATTTTTTTTAATTACCTTTTTCAACCATTACATTCTTTTTAAGTTTTACAAATACCACACTGTTATTTTTAAACATTATGGCTGGGCGCAGTGGCTCAGTGAGCCTGTAATCCCAGCACTTTGGGAGGCTGAAGCAGGTGGATCACCTGAGGTTGGGAGTTCCAGACCAGCCTGGCCAACGTGGTGCAACCCCATCTCTACTAAAAATACAAAATTAGCCAGGCATGGTGGCACATGCCTGTAATCCCAGCTACTCAGGAGGCAGAGGCAGGAGAATCGTTTGAACCCAGAAGGCGGAGGTTGCAGTGAGCCAAGATCACACCATTGTACTCCAGCCTGGACAGTAAGAGCGAAACTCAAAAAAACAAACCAAAAAAAAACATTATTTATGAGTTTCTAATAATTTAAGGTTTAAATTAAGGCCACTATAAATAATATGAAGAGTTGAGTGCTCTGTATAAGACAATCTTTGCAAAAGACTACTGGTTCTCTCGCAAACCATTTGTTTACTAGCATAACAGTCACATGAGAAAGGCAAATAAAATCAAACCCACAAACTTCCCCACCTCCCCTTATCAAAGACATACACCGAAATAGTGTGATCAGTGACATGTTAACTTGCATTGGGACATTTTAAATCACCTACTACAGAAGCAGTTTCTCAACTGTAAATATACTGAATATTCGTGAGAATTCATTGCTCTGAGTTTGCTTTAAAATGTTTCTATAATTTACAAAACACCACACAGTAAAAATGTTGATAGAAAACATGCAAATATAAAATTAGAGAGCACAAGGACAGAAGTTTGGCACAAAGAGCCAAGACTAATTTAGCAAATGGTTAGACTTTAAATGTATTTATTCTTCATTCCTCATGAATTTGGATCAAGTTTTCATCCTACAATAATATAATTTTGACTTAAGTGAAAAAAACTAAATTATGCTAGTTTAGAAACCTATAAAGATTTGGCTGGGTGCGGTGGCTCACACCTGTAATCCCAGCACTTTGGGAGGCCGAGGTGGGTGGATCACCTGAGGTCAGGAGTCCAAGACCAGCCTGACCAACATGGTGAAACCCCGTCTCTACTAAAAAAAAAAAAAAATACAAAAATTAGCTCAGTATGGTGCCAGATGTCTGTAATCCTAGCTACTTGGGTGGCTGAGGCAGGAGAATCACTTGGACTCAG